GTTTTATTGTCTGAAAATCATGAATTACGCTGTTAGCATACTAGTTATTAGCAATACTGTGATATGTGGTCTCTGAAAGTTATGAAAGTGCTTATAAATTGTAGTGAATCCCACCTGCACACTCGGTAATATGATTAAAATGAACTAGTTCTGTTTTTCATGGCAAAAGAAATATGTTTGTTCTGTTTTTATAAAGTCAAATCAATTTTTCACAATTCAAATCATGATTCTGAATTCAAATCATTTTAAACTAATGCTCCAGTTTTCTCTTTTACAGTGTTCTTCCACATTATGAGGCTCTTCTGTGTGGACCAGGAGGAAGCAGGCGGTCCTCCACTCTACAGGAGAGGGATGTATGTGAATTATTAAAGGTGCCAATTAGAACTGCTGACATTTGGATCAAAACACCATGACATTGGCCTTTAACTCTCTCTCTTCTCTCTCTCTTCTCTTCTTTTTCTCTCCCTCTTCTCACACGTTTACCCACAAACACTTGAGCTCCACAGTTACAAAGGGCAGGGGCAGCTCCTTAATAAATGACTGGCTCCGCAGAAGGGTCAGGGCAGTGGACAGTGAGGCCCAGCTGACATTTGACATAATTGGCTGATAGAGAGCGGTTCTGCGGGCGTGGGTTCACCGGGAGTTTGTTTCTGACATAAAAGGTTTTAAAGCAGACCTATTATGCAAAAATGGCTTTCATGATGTTGTGCTATTCAGGCTTTATAATATAACAGTGATGGGCGGATGGATAGCTTATATAGATATTTTTACTTGGCATCAACTTTCCCTAGAGGTGTGCAGTTAAGTGAAAGCACTAAAATCACAAAATCAAACACCTCAACAGGACCATGAACGCTCGGACTGATGACAGCCTCCTGAAAGTGAGTTGTTTATATCCATTTTGTGTTTTTTCTTGAGCTTTTAGATTATCTTAAATGTTTTTGTCTGTATTTGCTCATGTGTGCATCGTGTCACCATGGTACCTGATGAACATTTTGCTGTGAGAGATACATAGAACTAGGGATGTCCCGATCACATTTTTTTGCCCCCTAGTCTGAGTCATTTGATTTTGAGTATCTGCCGATACCGAGTCCCAATCCGATACTTCTATAAAAATTATGAAATGAACTAAGAGCAAAGAATAAGATCCAGGATGTGTGGGGGAATCAGATTATATTGATTTCAATGTGTAGTATTTGGGCTAAACTTGTGAAAAATCAAATGTCCAAATTTTATTAATTTATTAATTTTGTTAACTTTTCTAACCATGCACCATCATTGTTGAAAATCTTTACTTTTACTTCAGTCTGGTCTTGGAATGTGTAACTTAGCATATTTAATGAACTGAACAAAACAGGAACCAGACCAGAATCAGATCAGACCTGAGACTCGACTCTGCACAATCTACAGTTTGTATATTTGATATTATATGGAGGCCTGTGCATTACATTTAAAACACTTAGGCTCGTCCATGAAATCCAAATAATACAAAAGTCGAAGCGTGAGTGTGCCTCTAGTACAGCAGGCGTTTGGGCAGACAATCGAGCTAACTGGACATCCCTGAACCTCAGTTAAAAACAAAACAAAACTGTTGTGTGCTGTGTGTTCTGTGTGCGCAATTTGTTGTATATTATTTATCCGATACCTGATCAGCCCATAACGTCCGAGTCCGGATCGAGTCCGCAGTCACGCGATCGTGATGGGATCAGGACAACCCTACATAGAACACCCCCAGCGTGATGTCATTGCAAAGTATCAATACTGATACTGACGGACTGAAAATTTGAAGGTTTCTGGATGGATTTTCTTTTCTGGTAAAAATGATCGCTCTCTGTATTTTTTACACCAGGGGTCTCCAGCCTGTAGCTCGGGAGCTACTGGTAGCTCTCCAGCCCCTTCTAAGTAGCTAAGTAAAATAAATAAAGTAATAAAATAAGTTAAATTTGATCAATAAAGTGCCTTTTACCATTACCGTGTAATAAATGGATAATGATTTATGTTTTATAGGCATCTAAATATACCTCATCAAAGGCTCACCGTGTCTCTTATATATGCTTAATTTCTTGTGACTGCTAAAACTAGTAGCTCTCTGGCTTTTTTGTTTTGTAAAAGTAGCTCACCAGAGGAAAAAGACTGGAGACCCGTGTTTTTTACAGACCCCACTCCCTCTGTTGCATCTCAAGCCTGGCCAAATCGTCCAATCAGATTTGTTCAGAAATCAGATATTTCATTGTCATCAACCTCGGCGTCACTACTGAGAGGGATTTTAAATTTGACAAACAAGTAAATGCGGTTGTGAAATCTATAGCTTTCATCATTTGCAGCGTTTATCTAAAATTAAACCTTTTAAATCATTTAAATAGGCCACACACGCTTTTATCTCCTCTCGTTCAGACGACTGTAAACACACTTTTCTCTAGCATTAGGCCACCATGCACTTTCTCACTTACAGTTGGTCCAAAATTCTGCTGCGCGACTTTTAACTGGAAACAAAAAATGAGCACATTACCCCAGTTTTAATGTTGTTGCACCAGCTTCCAGTTCCTTTTAAAGTTGATTTTCAGCTTTTATTGTTTGTTTTTAAATCTTTGAATGGACTGGCCCTGCATTACGACTCGGATCTCATCCAAATTTACACCAAGGCCGCACTCTGAGGTCTGACAGCCAGCTCCAGCTCGTGGTGCCTAAGACAAGACTAAAAACCAGGGGGACAGGGCCTTCTCTGTGACCGGCCCCAAACTCTGGAACATTCTGACCCGCCCATGTCCCAACAACCCCCACAGTGGAGAGTTTTAAGTCACGTCTTAAAACCCACTTTTATTCCCTGGCTTTTAACACAGTGTGAGTTGTGTGGTCCTCTGTGTCTTTTATTTTACTTATTTACTGCTATTTTACAATTTTTATGGTTTTGCTTTTATTTGAGTTTACTGGTTTTATTGTTTTAGGACTGGTATGACGAAGTTTTAGCAATTTACGTTTTTGCTGTCTTCATTTTATGATCTCTGTGCAGCACTTTGGAAACGGCTTTGTTTGTAATATGCTATAGAAATAAAGTGGATTTATTTCAGTGACACCTGTGAAACGCAAGAGCTCATTGGTCACCTGTCATTTACAAATAAAACTACATTTTCCACACCTCAGATGAACACAATTTATGGAAATCTGCAAAGTGTTTTAGTCCCATGTGATATTTTTCCTTTATTTTTTCTGCTATATAGACCATGCGTGTTCCTAATTGGTTAATCCACTTGTCAATCACGCCCATCTGAAAATCTTCTCTTGATATATTGGGAGTAATTTCAAATAATTTCACTCTCTGCTGGTGACAGGCGAGTGAGGGCAGACATAGGCTGTAATTCAAGCGTTCAAAAGCGTTCAATAAAAGTCAAAATAACGCATACAATTTCCTCTTTAAATTGCAGATACAGTCTGTGTTTTATAAAGGGCAGTGTTGTAACAGTGAGATTAAAGATGTAAGAGTACGTCATTGTGAATCTAACTTTGATTATATGAAGTGTGTAATGGTCGGAGCAGGGACGTCTGACCGGCTTTTAAAACAGTAATACATTTTATACCACTGGTCCTGGCTCTGCTTCCACTTTTATTTCTTTGTTTTATTACAACAGACGAATGACAACACCACAGTCATATCGGGTTGAGTGTTCCAAGATTTGGTGGATATAATATTAGTAAATATAGGCCCCATCCACACTAGTACATATCTGAGTCATTTTTCGTTGTGGATGCAGTGTTTGTCCACACTGATCTGATGGAAAACGGCTCCAGAGATGGAACGATCTGGTGTCGTCAGCTCCCATAAATTCATCTGAGTACGGATCTGATCTGGCACTGTGTGGACGCCTGAAAACTTGATACGCTGACGTAGGAGCTCTAGTTGCGTCCTTATTAGACCAAGCCACTGTGACTTGCGTTTTCCTGACTTGTTGGGTTCGTGACATCGGTCATGTGACGCTACCGTGGAAAACAGTTTAAACAAACAACTGAACCTCTTCGTCGGTCCATGAAAAGACTGTTTTCACGTTTGCCATCTTCCTCGGTTTGAAATCGGCTGCTGCAACTTTAGACACAGTGCGCTGCTTCCTTGTTTTTAGCGCCCACGTGACGTTGTGACTTCATCACGACGTGATGCCAGTCTGGTCATGTGACAAGCGTTTCAGACGGTTTCGCGTTAATGTGTGGATAGGGAAGACTTTGATTGCAAACACAGAAATGACGTGTCTGTACACAAATTGTTTCCGATACAGTGATACAGTGATACAGTGATTCGTTTCAGTGTAAACGTAACCATAGTCTAAAGCCTGGCCAAACTTGATTGTCCAATCAGATCCTTTTCTTTCAATGACTTGTGTGAAACAAGCTCATTTACAAATAAAATCACACTTCTCTAATCTCAGATTAGCAGAATTTAGTGCTCTTGTCTTGTCTCATTGATTTTGCAGAGATCCACCATGATTTTCAGTCCCCTGTGATATTTTTTGCTCAATTTTTTTTTCAATATGGACGGATCATGTGTGTCTCTGATTGGCTAATGCACTTATCAATCACACACTGCAAATCTGACCAAGATTTTAAAACGTATATCACTTGTCACTTTACTTGTCAAGTAAAATGATCTTGCTGCAGGGACAGATAATTTAACAAATTTTAAGTCATTTTATGATATTTTATGACAAGAATTACAGTCACAAAATTAAAATTTATGATTACTTTTTCTTCAGTACGAATACAAATTCACAGATGTGACTCACACGAATATTTCTGAAAGCTTTCTTACTCCATATTCTTATTCTGTAAAGCACTTTGAATTACTTTGTGTAACAACTGAGCAATACACATAAACTTGCCTTACCTTCGAACTTTATTATTGTGACAGGCCTAAGTAGATACAAGAAAATAATGATCTCAAAGTCACGATCACTCAACCTATCCCACTTTGCCTGTATTCTGAGGCGGCTCTTGGAGTTCATAGCAGCTCTTACCGTGGAGGAGAGTCTGGGTACAGGCCTGTGATCTGGTCCAGACCTTCTCCGTACGAGTGGAAGTCCAACCCAGGGGGAAACTCCTCTAGACAGGTGGACCTCAGCTCCCCCACCGAGCCCCCGTACGAGAAGCCATCCTGACCTGCGCAGAGGAATTCAACTGTTACAATCTACTTACATTAGAGCTGGAAAAATAAAGGTGTTAAAGGTCCAACCGAAAAGTTACACAGTGCACCTTTAACCTGACTAATTAGTTCATTACGGTTGAAGAGCATTTGCCGAGGCAGAGAGAGGATGATCAGATGTGACAGATGTGTTCAAAGGCCATCTGAACCAAAGAAGATCAAGAGGGTGGTAAATGTGAAGAGTGGTCCTCCAGCTGAACAGTATGAACAGGGTTTAATCCTCTGTCATTATCAATAAACATCTACACTTACATTAGAAGCGATCAAGTCAGCAGAGGAACATTTGATGGGCGCCTTTATGTCCAAGTGTCTGTGTCATTATCTTTTTATGTAATAAGAGTTTTATATCATGGGCCTGGCCAGTAGTGATGTCTCCTCCGTGTCGAGACTTCAAAGCGTGTGCAGATTAATCCAGGAAGGCTTTGGTGAAGCACGTATCAAGGCTTGTATCGGTGACATATGTGGTGACGTTTGAAGCCTTGTGAACCGCCCGTACCACGTGACTGGTTCAGGAAGTGGTTCACAGATTTGGCGCGCGATTAAAAACATAACATTGGTACATTCTGTTTGAGATTTTTTTTTTTTTTTTTTTTGTGAAGGAGCCAGCAAGAAAAAGAATATTTTCCCCTGTTAAGGGACATTTTGAGCTAATATAATGACATCATTAAATAAACAATACAACTAAATACAAAAATTTGACAACACAGTCTTTCCCCTGCTCTAATATATAGTAGTAAAGTAGTAACACAAGCACAGTCACATTACATCCTGATCTCCAATTTGTTTCTACTTTTTCTTTTAACCCGACCTTTATATCATGAACACAGACTCCATGTTAATAAATTCACAATTTCTGTTGATATCACAAACATTTAAATATTTAATCATTCATTTGTTTAATATAAATCTTTCCATCAGAACCTCGATGATCATGTTGATTGTTCTATTATCACTCTGCCTGTTATACATTTTTTTTGGCCACTTGATGATGCGGTGGAGCAAATGAAGCACCGTGAAGCATCAGCTCAAGAGTCGAGCAAATTTATGGAACACTTCAGTGCTTCATGGATCTTCATCTCACTGTTACTACTGACCAGTAAGTAAAGGAACAGTAGCCGGTGTTTTTACTGATGAATTACAATCATAAACAAACCTGGGTTGTCAGGACAGGTTTTGAGCTGCAGAGGCTGCACTAGCAGTGATTCATGTTGGCTGTGGGGTGCTGGGGTTTAGGGAGTGACCATTCAGATCATAGAGACGCATTTTAGGCTTAAACCAACCAACCAATGAAACTGGCAGCACAAATGAGAGACTGATGTGAGGCTCATTCTGCTTTCTGACAGGATAATTGTCTTGATAATCAAAGCACCAAATTATAGCACATATAGTCACCATGTCTGTTTTTGTAATTTTTAATAAGGATTACAATTGAGTTATATTTGTTTTACTCATATCTGGGGATACAGATATGAGTAATGTTTATGAAATTTTCCTCAGTACACCCCCATCGATCTTTGGCATAGCACCAGGCTGCACACAGACCCCCCATGCTCATTCTGACTCCCATGCCCGTCATGCCCCCGGGCACTTACCATAGCTGGCCCTGAGGTGGGGGTTGCGCAGGCGGCTGTCCTTGCGCAGGCTTCCCACGATGATGGTGATGCAGGAGAGGAAGAGCACCAGGCCTATGACGATGCCCGCCACCACCAGAGGAGACACCAGCAGAGAGGGCTCCCCCACAGGCTCACGCTCGCTCCTGCACTCTGGGTACTCCCCATGGCTCTGGTTGGAGCTCACTGCTGACCACAACACAAAGGCAGTTAGAGACAAAAAAGAGAACTGTAGTCTTTATTAGAAAGGTAGATCGGAATGTGGGCAATACAGTGTGATTATGGGATACAGATATCTTCAGTAAAAGAAAAGAATACCAAAGTGCGACTGTGGTTAGAGCAGTGGTCGTTGTGTCCTTAGGCAAGACAAGGGTGACCAGAGTTTTTAAATTAAAAACTCAGACATCCCTGGTTTGTGGTGGTTGGTAATAATAAAATTATGAAACAAAAAAAAATAGTATGCACTTGGCCAATCATGACTAAAATGTGAATCAGTATTGTCAGATTTTCTTGGTGCTTTGGTCATTTTAAGATGGCCTGATTCATCAGCCGGTTTCACTTCGTTTCCCTTCGTAGAAACCATCTGACCTCGCAGTGTTAGAATTTTGTTCGCTCAACGGTAAGTGGGTATACCCGTATTTCTAGGTATTTTTGAGCTATAAAACCACAGTATAGTATTAAACCTTTCTATCTTCATGAAGACCAAACCAGACCAAGTTAAAGGTCAGATCTGTGGAGAGGCGTCCCCGCTCACAGTCTGAATTTCTGTTTTACTACATATTTTTGAGTCATAAAACCACCTGTAATTGAATAAATGCAAAGTAGAGGTGTTTAATGTCATACTGTGGAACATTCCAGAACGAACAATTACATATTCATAGAAACAAGCAGGTGATGGACCCTCAACCAAAAAGTGCATAGTGTTTTAATGTCCTGTAACCATGGAGACAAGCAGGTACCATCAATAGTTAATCAGCCGGTTTCACTTCGTAGAAACTGTCTGACCTCATTCGCTCGACAGTAGGTGGTACTTTTTATCATTTAACCAATCACTATTTGGTTGTGATGTATGTAATGCGCTGCTAATGGGGTTAACTGGTATATTAAGCTTTTCCCAAATCCCGTAGGAAGAAGTACAGTAACGTCTTTCCCCTTGATGAAGTTCACCAAATATTCTCTTTGTTCCAGCTTTAAATCCTCGATCTCAGGAATCCTTGACAACACAGAATGTATGGCTCTTCTCTGATTGGCTGGTGCCCAAACTCACACTTCCAGGGTTTTTCAGCCTGGCTAATTTTAAGCAGCTTTTCAGTATTTTACCTAAGCAAACGACAATTTATGCCTCTCTTTACTGTTGGCAGGGACCAAATTGGTCAAAAATATGGACACCTGGGTCATTTCTTGTATAAAACTGGGACTAATCAATGGTTTTGGATGAATCCACTGGGACAGAAGACACAGGGCTCAAAACTGGGACTGTCCTGGATAAATAGGGACGTCTGATCACCCTAAGCAAGACACTTCACCCACACTGCCTATGTGCTCTAAAGCTTGTATAGTTGATCTTCTCTTCCCTGTCTTACTGTCGTGTCTCCAGTTCTGTGCGACATATAATTAGAGCTGGAGAGTCCACACACACTTAGTCATGAGTGGATTAGACTGTCATATCTGCTGTCTCCTCTTCCATCTGTCTCCTCTCACCCATCACTCACATATATGAGCTTACATGTGCCTTTTGTCATTATTTAAGTCACTGTCACGCGCTAGACTAATTCACGAGCTTTACATGACGGATCTAATTCAGTATGAACCTGTCAACTGGAAGAAGAACAAAGATTAGTACTAAAAACAAATTAAAACTGCTTTCTAAGTTATTGCTTTATGGTTTAGTGGTAAAAGAAGTCATTTAAATTTTATAAAAACACACAACACTAAACTGACATTTGACAATCTCCAAATAATAAGCAATCACAGCTGGTATGAAATATCTGCGTAGATTCTGGAAAAATTAGCTGGATCGGGTATCGGTTCCATGAAATCTGATTTGTTTTGTTTCATTCACGCATGTTTAACACACAAACCCTGCATATTTAGGCTGTGTTCTTCTCTGTTGTACCTTGTGATGTAATGTCGTAATACAAGAAGTGCTCCACTGTGTTTTAAAACTCCACACACCTTCACTAGAATCATTTGAATAATTTCAGCTCTTGTATTTCCCATCTTTACTGAACAAGGTAAGGTAAAAGGTCGTGGTTGAATTGTGGCAGTAGCTCAGTTGGTAGAGCATTTGTCCACTGATCCAAAGGTTCTCGACATAAACATCATTGGTTGAGCGGTCAGATCGATTCCAGCTTGAGCAGATGAATGCTGATGTTATATCCATGGGCAAGACACTTAACTCACCTTGCCCTCAGTGTCTGCGTACACTGGTGTATGAATGTGTGTGTGAATGGGTGAGTGGGTCCTTGTTGTAAAACTCTTTGAATTGAGTGCTGAAGGTGGAAAAGCAGTAGCCTGATTCATCAACCGGTTTCACTTTGTGGAAAGTATCTGACCTCGCAGCATTAAGATTCGTTCGCTCGACAGTAGGTGGGCACTTTTTTTATTTAACCAATCGCTGCTATTTGGTCGTGACTCATGTAATGCGCCGGAACACTACGTAGTGTCCAAGTAATTGCCCGCACAACAACAAACAAAGCAGAAAGCGAACATGTCTGTCAATGATCATTGTCGTTTCTGTGAAATGAACTTGCGAATTAAAGGTGCAATAAAAAATGAAAAGTTTGACAAAGGAGACAAAGGAGGATATCGTATGCAGTCTGCTATCACAACTCGGGTTGGTTCAACTGTTCGCTGATTGGTCGGTGCACTGTCTACAACTTCTGGGCTTCCTACAAACCGTCTAGTGCAGGGGTCTCAAACTCGCGGCCCGGGATCCAACTGCGGCCCTCGGAAGGATTTTTTGCGGCCCTCCACTTAATTCCAAAGAATAAGTGCAGCCCACGGTAGATGTATGCACAGTCCCACCCCCTACCGCGGGCCGCACTGACAGATGAAGCTGCAATCAGTGCCCATGCAGATTCACAACAACAGATTATTAACGCAGCTTACATCCCAAAACTCAATTTACAGCATCTGTGAAGCAACGAGCCTAAGTGGATCTGTTAGTACGAGTACACGTGCACATACGGCATTTTTTTTTCGTGCAACCGCGATTTATCGAATACTCAATGTGGCCCACCCTCACTCAGACTTTATCTAATGTGGCCCCCAGGTAATTTGAGTTTGAGACCCCTGGTCTAGTGTATTCTGATTCCTGACCTAGTCGCTGAAATGAAATGAAACCGAGCAGAGGCACTAGGTGGCACGAGTCTGGCTACAAAAGCGCTATATAAAAATGTGACCATTTAAATTGAAAACTACCGCTTCATGACATCATAAGGTGGAACAGAGCATCTGGAGCTTTAGAGATGTAGACAGACTAATAATGCAGGATTACTCAAAACATGTGAATGAAACAAAACACAACTCCAGGTCTGTTTTTGAGGAGGTAACAACAATATTACACGGGTTAAAGCTCACAAGAGTAGATTTTGCGCAATATAGGACCTTTACAAAATGGCTTATTACGTTGTAGTAGTAGTAGTAGTAGTTTATTCTGTCAATTTGCATCACTACAGAAAACATAGAGTACAACCCCATGGATCAAGATCGAAATGGTTTAGGGTGAAGTAAAAAAAATCCAAGAAAAAAAAAAAAAAAAAAAAGCATATGAAGAGCAAGTTTACGTTTACAATTTCACTTAGGACTTACTGTAGCTTATATATAAGTGATAAAATAAAAGACTGCAATTTTCTATTCAGTTGCGATGAAGATTGCAGCCCTATAGTATCTTGCACATACCTGCCTGTGTTACTGCTTCTCTACCTCTCCTCTGAATCTAAAGCAGGCTTCAGACACCACCCAAACCGCTAAATGATTTACTCTCCTTCTCATTGTCATTTGGCTCTCCGCTCTTTTATTACCCGCTCCCCCTCTCCTCTCCTCTTCCCTCCATCTGCCTGTATACGAATGGCCCGCGTCGGTGCCGGTGGTAATTTGGTTTTACCGCCGAAGAATAGGAGCGCTGTAATTCCCGGCAGACCACTCTCCTCACCGCGCGGCTCGTCTCTCAAACACAAATCACACGTTAGGAGTGCGTTTGGTAACTGTCTTATGGTATTGTGGTGTAAGAACGAACTGACGCTTCACTAACACGACAACGACGTGTTGGATGGGCAGTGGTTCAGAGTTAAAGGTGCATTGTGTAACTTTTCTGGTGGAGGGTCTGTCAAATGGTTTACTTCATGGAGATGATATTGCTTTGTCTGGAATGTTTCACTTAAGGCTGAATTTTGATCGTCATTTCGATTTGTGTGGCAAACGATCTCCAAACTCATATAATCGAGTTGAAATGGTTAACAAAGTTTATTGTGGGATATTTTTTATATAAGTAAGTATAATAATAAGTATAAGTTTCCTCGTGCGATTTTTACTTCTTTGGAGTGCCTGGATTTCATTGTGTTTAAAATAAGTATATTTATTTTATTTTTTAAATGTAGAGATTATACAGCAGCTGGATATATAGTTTATTTTGGACACATTTATGTTTTTCTGTGCCTTATTTCATGTATATTTTATTCATTTCATGTTTTATACATTGCAAAACTGCTCTAAGGTTCATATTTGTAGCCTATATTTATTCTCAATTGGAACGTTTTGCATAAATTATCAATAACGCAAGTGTTTTTTTGGTTTTTTTTTGAGAGAGAAATGCTGAATAAATGTAGCCAGGCTGGAGCCACCTAGTGCCTCCGCTCAATTTCATTTCTCTCCAGGTCAGGAACGGTTTGCAAGAACCCTGGAAGTGCGAGTTCAGGCACCAGCCAATCAGTGAAGAGACATACATTCTCTGTTGACAATGATTCCTGAGATCGAGGATTTAAAGCTGGAATAAAGAGAATGTTTGGAGAATTTCATCAAGGGGAAAGACGTTATTGTCCTTCTTCCTACAGGATTTGGGAAAAGCTTAATATACCATTTACCCCCGTTAGCGGCGCATTACATACGTCATGACCAAATAGCAGTGATTGGTTAAATGAAAAAAAGTTCCCACCTACCGCCGAGCGAACGAAATCTAAGGCTGAGAGGTCAGATGGTTTGTACAAAATGAAACGAAGTAAAACTGACTGATGAATCAGGCTAGAATAAAGGCATTGTGTAACTAAAAAAAAAAATAAAAAAATTGTGATTTCAATATTGACCAAAAAAAATTGTGATAATGATTTTTTTCCATAATCGAGCAGCCCTATTTCACAGTATAGCACATTTCTATCTTCATGGAGACCAAGTTACAGGTCAGATCTATGGAGAAGTGACCCTGCTCACCGTCAGATTGTTTTTCTGCATATTTTTGCACTACAAAACCACCTGTAATTGAATAAATATAAGGTAAAGCTGGTTAATGTTATTCTGTAGAAAATTCCAGGCAGAGCAATGACATATCCTTAGAAACAAGCAGGTGAAGGACCCCCAATCGAAAAGTTACACAATGCACATTAAGATAACAGGCTAATATGTTTTGTTGAAAGCTACTCTTATTGTTGTTTACAGCTTTAAAGAACACATTGTGCTTGAGCTGCTGTAATCTATGACACCCGTGGATCATTATGTTAGAATTTGCACATTTTAAATCGCAACATTCATCTAAAACGACTTAATAAAAGAGGTGCCCAATGGGAGCAGACGTCAGAGTAAACATCATCATGAGAAAGAGTTGGCACCACCGACCGATAGCTGCAGATCACACTAATGAGGAGCAGAGTTTTTTTTTTTGTATTTGTACCAAAATAACTAAACAGCACTACTGAATCCTACACGTATCACCAATTAAGAAAATAAAACTGAAGAATAAAGTAAGTACAGAGCAGTGGGTGTGTACCAGTGATTAAAAAAGATTAGGGATGTAACGATATCCAAATCTCTCGGTACGATATTATCACGATATGCATCTCATGACATGATATTTATTGCGATATTTTGGAGACGCTGATATAACTGTAGATAGGATGCTTTTTTTGCTTTTAAAATACCATGACAAGATTTGGGTGTGAATTATTAACGTCAGAATCCCAAGAATTAAACTAAAAAAAAAAACATATTTCTTCATGTCGTCTGTGCTGAAATGAATCATGGGATATGTAGTTCCCGATGTTTATTAGCTGTTCCTACTAAAGAACAATAATCTGATATATTGTGACAACTCTCGATATTATTGTGAGACTTCTGACGATACGATATCACCATATTTCAGTTACATCCCTAATAAAGATTGCATCCCTAATAAAAAACTACTCAACGCATTCACGAATCACTTCAAATATGATTATGGGTAAGTAAATGGTGAAGATAAAGTACATCCCTAATAAAGATTGCTCAAAACATGCACGAATTACTTCAGATATGATTTCGAGTGAGTAAATGGTGAAAGGAAACAGTTATAACTTGGGTAAAGGCTCTAAAAAGTTGATTTTGCAGAATAAGTCTGCTTTAAAGAACATATGCAAAATTGATTTTTTGAGCTTTTAACCATGTTATATGGAGCAGTATTTTTACTTCATACACACTTGTTTCATGAATCCATTAACACAAAGTCAAGACGACTTGCTTTTCACCTGAATTGTTGTGTCACACTTAAAACTCTGGACTTCTCTTCGTTTTTAAGTTCATAAACCATCACTGGACTCTGAACTGGATTCTACGGTCAAATTCTTTCATTTGTTGCCTTTCAGATTTTTTATTCTTGTTCCAATACTTACATTTCTCTATAATTGTAACTTTTTTTGTATCAATATCTGCTCAAATGAGTATTTAGTTTTGATACTTGTTTCAGTGTCTGATTTTCGATATTCCCAGAACCTTGCCGTCTATACAAAACTAAAGAACGGCCAGAAAGAAACAGCAGTTATAACATCTAGCTCGAGCTTTAGCAAAACATATTATTCTTTTTTATGAAGTAATGAACTTTCACATGAGTAGATCTTTATTATGATATAAGTAGATCATTCTTTTATTACCCCCACCCCCTCCTCCTCCTCTCCTCCCTCTGTCTGCTCGTACAAGTGGCCTCTGCTTTCGCCGGCTGTAATTTGGTTTTACCGCCAGATCTTGAGAAAAAGAGAGTTCTGCGATTCCCTGTAGAGCCTCTCCTCTCCGCACGGCTCACATCTCCAACTCTGGGTCCATTACTCGGCCAGTTATAATCAGATAACTAGAGAAATCAGATAACACATCATTTTCGATGTGTGTGAACATGCGTATAAAAATCTGATCATCAAAAGCGCCTGGTGACATTAGTCACTTAATCAATGGGTTTATAAAATAACTGTTGTAGTTGGAAAACAAAGTACAATGCATTTTAAAATAACTTTCAATATTTAAAGTGACGGTGTGTGACATTTTTAAAGGGTCCATAGTACACTATTTTCTGATCTATGTTATAATGTTGTTTCCTCATGAGAAACCTAGAATTGTGTTTTGTTTCATTCACACAGTTAACACACAAACTCTGCACATTTAGGCCGAGTTCTGCCCTCAAACAGAAAACTCTGTTCAACCTTATGATGTCATGTGGTAATACAGGAAGTGCTGCACTGTGTTTTTAATACAGGAAGTGCTGCACTGTGTTTTTAATACAGGAAGTGCTGCACTGTGTTTGTAAGCTCCATGCACCTTCACGAGAATCATTTGGATAATTTCAACCCAGCAATTGCCAAGTTTTACTGAAATAAAAGTAAAAGGAGCTGTTAACTTGAAAACTATTGCTCCGTGACCTCACCAGGTGGAAGAGAACATTTTGAACTTTGGAGATCTAGACAGACTAATAATAAAGGGTTACTCAAACATATGTGAAAAAAACAAACAAACAAAAATAAGGTTTCATATCTGCCATCTCCTGGTGAAAAAGTATTTAAAAACTTGCATATTGTTGGCCTGATTAATCAGTCGGTTTCACTTCATGGAAACCGTCTGACCTCGCAGCATTAGAATTCGTTGGCTTGACGGTAGGCGGGTACTTTTTTTATTTAACCAATCGCTGCTATTTGGTCGTGACGTATGTAATGCCCCAAATCCTGTAGGAAGAAGGGCAATAACGTCTTTCCCCTTGATAAAATTCATCAAACATTCTCTTTGTTCTGGCTTTAAATCCTCGATCTCGGAAATTGTTGCCAACACAGAATGTCTGTCTTCGTCTACATCCATCTCGACTGCTTTGTTTACTGTTGTGCTGTACCACAAAAGGGACCCAGACAGGCGCTTGAATTTGACTTCATGGCTTCACAGCTCTTTGCTGATTGGACGGTATGCGGTCTATGACTTCTGGGGTTCTAGTGTATTCTGATTCCTGACCGAGTCACTGGAGAGAAATGAAATTGAGCTGAGGCACTAGGTGGTGCCAGCCTAGCTATCATACTGTAGCTTTAAGCCCCCCAAAATAACAAATAAAAAATAAAATAAAATCAGGATTTTTAGTAGGCTTGCATCTCCACAAACCTGACTCTTATTTAACCTGGAGGATGGCCTGCTCCTGCTTGTGTACATGGACATTCAGTTTTTTTGCTGTAACATTCCATAGTATGGCATAAAACATATCCATCTCCATTGAGAATGTTCCAAAGTATGGTTTTAACTTTCTGTTTCCATGGAATCAAGCAGGTGAAGTGCCACTACCATAAGGTATACATATTAATTATACATTTTTGCCCAATTTTCCTTGTCAAAACCTGCACACGTGTGAACAATCAGAAAGAAATCCGATTACTCACATCAGTATCTGTTCACACGACATTTGGGTAATCCGATAACTCCAGAAATCAGATAACGACGTCTCTCCACTCCACCATCGCTCTCATTTTACCGCTCACTTCAGAAACATAAACTTCATTTTCCCCCAAACTCCACAGAGAACGCACAGCCCAGACGGATAATTATATAGATTTATAAGATGCTGAGACTCCATCCGCTTTAATGGCTTTATCACACCTGCAGAGTTTTCATCAGAACACCAGACAACGCACACATTTGCATTGATTTGTAAGGAAATACTAAACCACAAGTGAATAAAAATGAAAATGTGAAAATATGAGACGCTCCACACAGTGCTCTAATAAAACTGCAGGTGAGACTATTGGAGAAGAGGATGCGGATTCAATATGGAGGTTTTTAAATGAAAAGATAAAATGAAGTGGAAATGAAAGAGGCAACGGCGGTGTAGGGTAAAGCATTTTCCTATAAACGGGAGGACGGCCAGATCGATTCCAACCCAAACAACTGTTGTTAAAGGTTCTATATTACACAAAATGAACTCTTGTGAGCTTTAAGCCGTGTTAGAATGTAGTTTTCTCATCAAAAACAGACCTGGAGTTGTGTTTGTTTCATTCACACGTCTGAGTAATTCTACATTATTAGTCTGTCTACATCTCCAAAGCTCAAAATGCTCTGTTCCACCTTGTGATGTCATGAAGTGGTAGGTTTCAAGTTAACTGCTACCTTTTACCTTTAGTTCAGTTCAGTAGTTCAGAGATTAATCCGTGTATCATTCTATACGCTAACTATTTTCTTCATTATTTGTCTCCAAAACCAGAATGAAAAAATGGACAATGATTTGTTTTTTCAGTTTTCGATTTTGTCTTTAATGAATAGTGGAAAAAAAGGATAACGGCCGTTTCCCATTTGTACCACTTAAACTGCGATGCTGGGCTTTTGTGCCGCAAACGGACTTAACCAGGACTAAAACTGGACTGAACTGGGACTAAAAGAGGACTGAACCAGGACTGATCCCAGCATTGAACCAGGACTGAGTGTCGGAACGGGCCAGGAGGTGCGACCATCGGGTGATCACGGGCAAAACGAGTTTCACGCCCCATGGGGTTAAACGCAGCTGTCACCCGATCGCACTTTGCAGACACCCTGCTCCACGGGCTCGGGGTCCCATCTCTCTTTCTCTCTCAAGTTTGAAATTACTCCTGGCTTAGACCTGGTTTAGTTCTGCTGTAGTCCTGGTTCAGTCCTGTTTTAGTCCTGGTTCAGTCCTGGTTTAGACTTGGCTTAGACCTGGTTCAGTCCTGCTTCAGTCCTGCTTCAGTCCTGGTTTAGACCTGATTCAGTCCTGGTTTAGACCTGGTTCAGTTCTGGTTTAGACTTGGCTTAGACCTGGTTCAGTCCCGCTTCAGTCCTGCTTCAGTCCTGGTTTAGACCTGATTCAGTCCTGGTTTAGACCTGGTTCAATCCTGGTTTAGACTTGGCTTAGACCTGGTTCAGTCCTGGTTTAGACCTGGTTCAATCCTGGTTCATTTCTGGTTTAGTCCTGTTTTAGTCCTGGGATCAGTCCTGGTTCAGTCCTGGTTTGGACCTGGTTCAATCCTGGTTCATTTCTGGTTTAGTCCTGTTTTAGTCCTGGGTTCAATCCTGGTTCAGTCCTGGTTTGGACCTGGTTCAGTCCTGGGATCAGTCCTGGTTCAGTCCTGGTTTAGACCTGGTTTAGTCCTGGGATCAGTCCTGGTTCAGTCTGTATGCGGCGCAAAAGTCCAGCATCGCAGTTTAAGTGATGGAAACGAGAAACGTTATCTGTTTTTTCCATTATTCATTTTAACACAAAATCGAAAACTGAAAAAACAAATCGTTATCCGGAGACAAATAATAAAGTTTATCATTGATGATCCTACAAAATAAACCACAATGAGAATGAAAAAATGTAAGGATTTTTTTTTTTTTTAATCTGCAGGGTTTGTGTGTTAAACATTTGTGAATGAAA